CATTGGAGTTGGACATTGTGTGAAGTTTGGTGTCTTACCCAGCCCAGATCCAGTGTGGAGGCTCTTATTAGGGAGGCGCTGACGGTCCCCTTGCCAGGGACTGATAAAGGTTTAATTCTATTTGTTTCTCTAATGTTTGTGGGGCCACCGTAACAGGGAGCATAATGCAAAAGAGGATAGTTGGTCTGCCATTTTCTGAATGCCCCTTCCCTTCTATATATCTCTCAGTCCTGCCTGCTAAACTCGATAGCGAGCCAGCAAATCTAATCGCTGGGGCCCTGTTTCAGATCCAGCCGTTAGGTGATTACCCTAGTGATGATTGGTTCTGTATTTCTAGGCCCTTGAACACGGTAGGTCTTTGGCTCATGGTTTGTGGTATTGGATGTTGAAGTTCAAGGTGACAATGAAGGTGAAGGTGATGACAGACAGCACTACATGAAAATGATGAGATCCACCATGCTTGGCCCAGGCACTTTGCGGTCCCCTCTAGTTGCACGCCCAGCTGTGGAGTGGGTGAGGCACTGTGCTTGGTATCTGCCACTCTTCCTTTGCTCAGTGCTCCCGTCTGCTATAGAACGGAGCCTCAGCCTTGACCTCTATTTCCAAGTGACAAAAGTAAGGTTCTTAAGTGCCCCTGATCTCCTGCGGCTCACGGAATGAGTGAGTGACCGACACAGTCTGGGGCTGTCACTTTGTCCTCTGCTGGTGATGGGCCTCACCTGCTGTCTCCCTTCTGTGTGGCTGAATAAAGGACAGCCCTCCACTGGGACCTCCAGATGACTCCTTTCATGGAGCCATTCCCTTATCTTGAAAAATAATATTAGCTACGTGAATGCACGGGAGATTTTGATGCCTCTCTTGGTGATGTGGGCCTACCTGGGGACTCAGAGGGTGTGATTACAGACTCCCGGAGGATGTGTGAGAACAACTTGAAAAGGGGAAAAATGAAAGAGGAAGATGTGAAAGGCACGGGTCAGAAACTCGGTCAGGTTCTTGACAATGAGTTTCATTCAGGTGAAGGCCCTTCCCTCAGGGCAGGCACCAGGAGAGCAGACGGGAGGCAGCCTGCTTCATAGCCATGGTGCCATGTGGCATCAGAGGCAGCCGAGGGGCCCCCAGGAAGTCACTGGAGCTAACGAACACCTGGGAGCCGAGACCTGAGGAACAGTACTTTGAGCGTGTAGGAAGAAACAAGGTTCTTGAACTTTGAGTTCTGGTGCCTCGAAGCTGCGAACCTGAGGCACTGAAAATGAATGCAGCGACAGGAAGGAGTGGGGTGAGGGCCTCTGATACCATGGGGTGTAGCGAATGAGCCAGACCCACAGACTCCAAGACCCACAAGAGCAGGGCCTGATGCTCAGGTTGAGGGCTTAGAGCTGAAGCCCTTCATGGCCAGCGCCCCCAATCCCAGAGCTGGGGAGGTCCTCAGGATGGACATGGGGCCATGGGCTCTGCCATTCCAGGCACCAATAAGGCAGGAGGCACGTGTTCTGGAACTGCTCCTGCTGAGAACCAACAACATGCCAGACATGGAGTTACTCACTCCCTGCTCACTCCTTTCCTTCCCTCCCTCATCTAGAAAGTCTACAGAAACTCTTGGGAACAGACCCGGGCTGGCGGCTATGACTTCAGGCTGGATGCCATCCCGTTCCAGACTGCCCGGGCGTCCAGGGATATCGCCAGTGACGTAAGACCTCGTGCTCTTTCTCTCCTTCTGTCACTGATAGGTTTTGCTCTGGTTTTCCCAGTTCTATTGAAAGATAAACTACCAGGAACCAAAACTGTTTAGTTTTTAAATAGTGTTTAGTATTTAAAGTGATAGAAAAAGACATTATTTTCTAGAATCTTAGCCAGAAATTTGGAATTGGGGAAGGTTGTATTCCCACTCCCTGTCTTTCAAGAGAGGCACTCTTAAAAGTCGAGGCACGTGTACCTAGAAGTCAGTGAACATGTAATTGATTTGTTGATACACAATCAAGGGACTTCTTTTAGCTGAAGTGCGGTGTGACAGGGTAGAAACAGATTAGATTTTTCTCCTTGATTGACTCGAGTTCAAATCCTGGCTTGATCATTTATGGATTGGCTCTGTGGTCTTGGGCAAGTTGCTTAAATTCTCTGAACTCAAATTTCTATATCTATGAAATAGGGATCTAATACTTGTCTCCTAGGATTAATGTAGGAATGAAAACAAAATGATTTACCGTGTCACACACATAGCAGGTCTTCCAAACATGGCAGCTATGATTATTGAAGAGGAAGGTATCATGGACTAGCTATGTGATCATTCATGAATGGCTTGTTCTTAGTGCACAATGAGATAAGTGCAGAAATCAAGAGCAAGCTTTTAGAAACATAATAGCAATTAGACATTATAACATCCAAGCACGTGACTGGTGGACTCATCTGGTTGAGCAGGATGGAGGCTGCTTGGGGAGTTATCAAATGCATGTGGTACCATACATACTACTCACATACAATGGGGCCGCATGTTGGACTTAGATGGATTGGAAATTTATAAACAAAGTGAATCCAGTCCTTCACTATAGATGGTTTGAGGAGCATTGGACTGGGTCCCTGAAAGCTGGAAAGAATCAAAGGAAGAGAGACTGCTGAGAGAATGGGCCCACTTCTCTTCCTGTTGGATTATTAATTACAGCAGCAATAGTACCAGTAGCCACCACTCAGTGGGCATGAACCTGTGCCAGACGTGAGGCTCAGCCCCATCTCGTTGAATCCTCTCACTGTTCCATGGGGTGGAGGCTCATTCTCCCATTTTGTCAGGTGGGGAAACTGAGGTTCAGAGAGACTTAGTAACTGGCCCAAGGCCACACAGCTAGAAGGTAGCAGAAGGAGACACAGATCCCTACTTGAATCCAAAGCTGTGCCCTTAAACCACTGTTGAACATCCTGTGGACTGGCGCCACCTGTGACCCACCTCTGCTCCTCTGACCTGCAGTTCCGGTACAAAGAGGCCTTCCTCCGGGACCGGGGCCTGCAGATCGGGTACCGCAGCATCAATGACGACCCGAGGATGAAGCATTTCCTCAGTGTCGGCAGACTGCAGAGTGACAATGAGTACAAGAAGGACTTTGCCAAGAGTCGGTCCCAGTTCCACAGCCGCCCAGACCAGCCCAGCTTCCTCCAGGCCAAGAGGAGCCAGCAGCTGGCCAGCGACGTGAACTACAGGCAGCCACTGCCCCAGCCCACCTGCGACCCAGAGCAACTGGGCCTGAAGCACGCACGGAAGGCCCACCAGCTTCAGAGTGATGTGAGCTGCCCCCACCTGCCTGGCCGAGGCCATTCCTCTGGTCCTTCCTAAGAGATGGCTGCAATCCCACATTCCATCTTACCTCTGGGAGGAGCCAGGCTGAGAGAGAATCCAGGACACCTAACACTTTAGTGCCAGAAGGAATCAGAATAATTGCAATTTATGGAGTCCTTATTGTGGGCCTGGCTCTCTGCCAAATGCTTTTCAAGTGCTGTGCCACATAGCTCTCACAACAACCCTGTTACTGCCCCATTTTACAGATGAGGAACCTGAGGCTTAGAGAGGTTAAGTGACTTCCTCAGGATCACACAGCCAATGAGTGGCAGACCAGGGATGTGAACCCCATTTGATTTGATGTGAGAGCCCACGTTCTGGATTACTATGCCATACACTCTCCCAGGGATCTTTGTAGCTCCCTAACCCAGCCCTTGAACTTTCTCTGGGAGGAAACTGAAGCCCAGAGAAGGAAAATCACTTCTCTAAGGACACAGAACAAGTTAATGGAGGAGCTTGGACTTGAACCACGTCTCCCCACCCTCTGCCCCCATTTTAGCTCCCATCATTGATGGAAAGATGCAAGGGATAGTGACATGCTGGCCCAGCTCACAGCACATTGGGTCCTCAAGGCCAGGGAGTTCCTACTTAAGATGAGTTAGCTCCCCTTGTCCTGGCTTTGCTGACAATGACATAGTCTCCATCTCACAGTGGCCTTTTTAAGCTTATCTGCTCTGTGGCCAAACCCTGCTGACATATTCCTCTTCCTCCCCTCCTTCCCCCAAGGTCAAGTACAAATCGGACTTGAACCTGACCAGAGGTATTGGCTGGACACCTCCTGGCTCCTACAAAGTGGAAATGGCCCGGCGGGCTGCGGAGCTGGCCAACGCGAGGGGCCTGGGTCTCCAGGGGGCTTATGTGAGTAGCAAGCTACAAACCCAGCCCGGATGGCAAGGCCATGGGGAAAGGCAAACTGATTGTTTCTTTTCAAACTTTATTTTTGGCCAAAGGTCAGCTGGCTCTAAAGAGGTGTGAAATGCAACTCGAGCAAGGCGCCTAATTTCCTGGGTCTGAGATGACCAGGCGATGACCCCCGGGTTAAATTCCTGCAGGGTTTTCTGTGAAGTCACAGCCATTAGTTGTGCGGAGACAAGCCTACCAGGGCTACAGCAATCCCAGGCCACAGCAGCACAGGCCGTGCTGACTGCTTGCTCGTTCCGTTTGCAGAAAGGGTCAGGGACTTGCTGTCTACAACAGTCTGGGTTTTGAACCCTACTTTGTTCAGAAGAAAGACACCACATCTGAACGAGACATTGGCTTTGCTTCTTTCTTATTCTTGCCTTGAGGATCTTTTTTCTTGGAGGAGGGAAAAGGAAGGGGAGGACGAACATCTGAAATGCTCCCGGGGCATCTTAGACAGCTTGTCCTGTGGGAGAGGGCGGGAGCTTCATTTTAATTTGGGGACGTATGTTTGATTTCTGCAGGGGGGGCCAGAGGCTGTGGAGACTGGAGAGAATCAGAGGGGGGATGTGAACCCGGACGCCGCTGAGATTCTGCACGTCAAAAGGAGGAGGGCTCTGCTGTTGTGAGTGAGCGGCGTCCACCCGGAATTCTTGAGAGAGAAGCTGCAGAGGAAATTTGCACGCCAGACATGCTTACCTGCCTTCAGTTTGGACGAGCTGTAAAAATGGCGCACTAGCCCATCCCCTGATCTGCCTTTATTAAAATAACACCTCTCTGAAAGCAGATGGAGAATGTTGTATTTTTGGTCCTCTATCTAATACTGAGAAGTGGGTGGCTGGTTCTGTTGCGTACCTTGGGTGTCTGGGAGGAGGAATAAAGATGTAAAGTGACTCCCACCCAAGCTGGGCGTTCTGAAATCCTGCATTTACAAATGTCCAAGGTGAAGGCAGTCTGTGAACACTGATTTTTCTAGAAGGTACACTTGTTCGAAGGGAAGCAAACATAATATATTTTGGGTTGATTCTACCGTTTCTTGGGTTACCCAGGAGGGAGCCTGATGAAATGGTGGAAATGCTGGTCCAGGACGCCCCAGGCTGGGCAGCTGTTTTCTCTCCTTAGAGCATGGACACTCCGCTGCATGGCCTCCTGGGGGCTCCAAGGGTGTCCTTTGCTGCCCGCGAGGCCTCGCCTTGTCTGGGTGCTGTGGAACACAAGCTCTGAGGTTCGGAAGACATCTTAGAAACTAGCCTCCCTTTGCATGGTGGCTTTGATCCAATTCAGGAATTTGGTAACTTGAGTGTAGACCCCTGGCTTCTTCCCACATTCCAGGCCCCAGCTCACTATCCCATAGACATAGTAGGTGCCATTCTTCTCACAGGTCAGAGGGCCTCCAGAGTCACCCTAAGGCAAAAGGACATATGAGTTCAGCTTTGAGAATCAGAACACATTCGGAGGCACCCCCCACCTTCTGTGAGGCGATGCTAGGGGTGATGGGGTGAACTCGTGGCCAGCTGCAATGGGCTTCTCTAGAAAGCAGTGACAGGCTCTTCCTATGCCTCACGTGACACAAAGCTCTGGAGGGAGAGAAGTGAATACCAACCCACATCCCTGAGTCAGGGAGGGCTTGGCAGAGAAGCCGCAGGGCCGGGGTCACAGCACCGTGGTCCCACCCCCACCTCCTGACTCTTAGTGAGGACTCAGCCACACAGGTATTATTTCTGTGAGTTCTTAGGAGCCCTCGACTTCTTGTTCTGGCAGGGACCTGGGGGGGTGGGTGGGGTGCCCTATTTGGATAGAGCTCTCCCAGAACCCGCAGGACGCACACAGGTGGGGAGGATGGGGCTCAGAGGCAGCGAGGCCTAGATGTTCAACGTGGTGTATGGGGTTAGATGTTCTGGGTTCCAAGCTGGACCTCGGTTTCTCACACTCTAAACTGTGCATAGCAACAGAGCCCACCCCGCCCCCAGGGTTCTTGTGAGGATTAATGTTTGAAAGTACATGGGACAGTTCCTGGTTCAGATTAAGCCCCCAGTTGAAGTGGTGAGGATGGCGATGGTGAGGAGGCAAGCAAGAGGGTGGGAGCTCTCAAACACACTGCAGTTTACGCTCTACAACGGATCGATTTTTAATGACTTCTCTCTTTTAATCTTAGCCACGACCTTATGATCTTATGGATACGTTATTTCCATTTTATAGGTTAGGCACCTGAGATGGGAGAATTATCCTGCTGCAATGGACTGATTGTTTTTGTTCCCCCAAAACTCCTATGTTGAAGCCTAATCCCCATGTAATAGTATCAGGAGGTGGGGCCCTCTGGAAGTGATCAGGCCATGAGGGTGGAGCCCTCATGTGTGGGATTTGTGCCCTTATAAAAGGACCTTAGAGAGCTAGCTCTCTCCCTCCACCATGTGAGCACACGAGAAGTCTGCAGTCTGCAACCCAGAAGAGGGTCTCGCCAGACCTTGGCCATGCCGGCACCCTGATCTCGGGATTCCAGCCTCCAGAACTGCGAGAAGTAAATTTCTGTTGTTTAAGACACCTAGTCTGCAGTAACTGGTTATAGCAACCTGAGCAGACTAAGCCACTAGGTTTAGACTAGCCTCACTAAGTAAAGGACAGAACCAGGTTTCAAACCCACGACTGTCTGTTTCCAAAGCCTACAGGTGCAGCCCTTGCAATACCCAGGCAACTGAACGGTCTGTTTTCTCTCTCCTCTTCCAGAGGCTTAGGCAAGTCACACCCATCTGCCCATAGCCCTCCTTTGAGTCGGTGGACGTCTGTGGCCCCTCGGGAAGGAACGGAGGATCACAGTAGAGCCACAAACCCTGGAGAGAGTGACTGTGATTTCCCTTCCCTAAGTGGGCTCAAGGCTCACAGATCATTTTTGGGTTCCTTTGTAGGAGGAACTAGGATTTGAATGTGTCCGTGAGGGGCTTCCTGGACAGTCACGTGCTTTGAGAGGACAAGAGGCAGAAAATTCCAAATTTAGCTGTCCCCGGGAGTCGAGGAAGGACAGCTTCCTGTGTGATGGGGCCCCTACAGAGAGAGGGACTATGGGGAGTGTGCTTTGACTTGGGCCCAGGGCCAGAGGTCACTTCAGCATCGGTAGATGGAGCCACCACCATCTCCCTCTCCAGCAGACTCTGAGTCACCACAGGCCTCAGCAGCTTGGGGGCCCAAAGGTCCTGGACTGGGGGGAACGTCAGACAGGTCCTAGGATGGCCGTGGCCACAGAGGAGCCACTCAGCCACTTAGTTTGCTGGAGCTAAATGTCTCTCTCTCTCTCTCACACACACACACACAATTAAATCCTAATGATAAGTTAATATTATGGTGAATTCTCTGTGCCTCTCATCTTTCTCCTCGTAGTCACTGGTCTTTTGGACAGTTCCCTGCTTATTGGGACTTTCAGACATGCTGCCCGGCACTGAGGCCAGAAGTACCCTCTTCACATTTAAACACAGTGGAGCAAATTGCTGCTCTGCTACTTACCACCCAGGGGCTACAGGCCAAGATAATTCCTCTAAGCATCTGTAAAGTGGCGATAATGACATCCCCTTCACCAGAGTGTTGTGAGAATTAAATTAGCCAATGACCCCAAAGTGACCGCTGTGGTTATTATGCTGAGGCATCCTGGATTGATGTGGATTCAGATCTGCCAGAGGACAGATGTGTCCACCTGTGCCTTAGCTTTATGGCAGGTGGGCCTCTGAAACTGCCTCCCAGCCCAGGGCTCTAAGGGGCCTCTGTGCCCAGTGTGAGATCCTGCCAGCCTCTCCTCCTCCCAGTGCCATTCGGAATCTCTGACCTGGCAGGAGTCTTGCCCAGGCTTCTGAAGGTTTCCTGCACAAATCATACTGTCATCGATCATGTGGTCGTAGAGTCGGCGGGAGTTGCACAACGTATTGGCGATCAGCTTGACTTTGGCATCCAGGAGCTGGCGGGACCCTTCCCCTGGGGGACAGAGAAAAGAGGTGGCCACTGTGGGGACCAGGGTGGCACCTGCCCCACCAGAAGCCAGCAGTGGTAAAAAAAAAAAAGGGCTTCCAGCTTGAGTTCAGGCAAGAAGGAGTTTGCCAGGAGATGGGCAGAGAGGCCTCATCTTCCAAGGTTGGGAAATTCCTTCTAAGCTCTTTGCGTTAAGCCTTTACCACGCCTTTACAGACCTTTAGTGCTGCGCTTATCACAATACGGCAGAGTCATTTATTCCCTCCTCCGGCTCCCCAACTACACTGTGAGGTTGGAAGGGCAGGCCTGGTGTCTTAAACCCATCTTTAATTTCCCATGCCTGGCAGAGGGCTAGTGTGGAGTTGATTCTTGATGGTTGATCTTCTAGATTACCTGCTTCCCAGAGCAGACATCTCATCCCCTAAAGAACCTCTATTCTGCTCAATCCATTCTGGTCGGCATGGTGATGTTGAAAGGTTTAGATGGACTACAATGAAGATAGCTACAAAAAGCATTTTCTGGTTAACCCTAAATCCAGAAACCTTCTTTCCCAAAGTCTTGTGACAAATTTGTATATTACGTTTCACTTTCTTCATGAATACAGGCCTATTTAAAGTGACTCGTGCTTTCCCATGATTAAGGACAAGATCTGGGGGGAAGAGAAATCTACTTTAAGTATTTGAGGAAGACTTGAAACACACTTCTGAATTTCATATATTAGAGCATATAATCTTTTAGTACTATGAGGAAAGTAACCCTTTGGTTACTTTCTTAGAAAAGACCAAATCCTAGAGACAAATCCATAGCTTGATTTAACAAAATTTTATAGGATGCTGGCTATGTGGGGAACCCTGACCAAGGCACTGTGGGAGAGACAAAGATGAGCAAGACTGACTCCCACCCTCCAGGGGCTGACTTAATGAACATCTCTAGAGAATTCTCTCATCTCCTATTGTCATGATTCCAAAGATAGGGGGTAAGTATGGTTATTGGGGAACAAAAACTCAGCTGTCCAAGTGACAAAGCCAAGAATCTAACGCAAGTCTGTCTGACTCCAAATCCACCTTCATTCTAATCTACCTATGGGAAGAAAATGGTCTCCATGGATACAGGACCATTGCTTGATGAAAGTCAAGGATCTAGGGGTGGGGGCCAGGGACAGACATGGAGTTCAGGGAAGACTTCTTGGAGGTGATGAGATTTAACTAGAGTCTGAGAGTTGAGGTGATCTCTTTCTCTTGATAGTCCTTTTTCAATATAACACTGATTTCAAGTTCAGAAGGGCAGTTGAGTTTGACCCTTTCTTCTCTGGTTGATGTAGCTCACCTGTCTCCGGAAAATGCGTGGCCACACTCACCTGTTTCTGTAACACCCCAGCCAGAGATGTGACACTCAGTCCCAGAGGGAAAGGGGTCATCGGGCAGACATACAGTCTTCACGTATTTGGACTCCAGGGCGCAGTGACCATCCACTGGCTTTAACTTGAGCAAAGCTGGGTAGAGAGAGAAAGGTAATGACTTCCTGTCTGTCAAAGAAGCATTAGCTTGAACTTGACTGGAAGGTGGTCATAGCAAAGCCTCAGTCCCAATGCCTAAAAAACTTCTTCCTCGGTCATTCCATTCTTCTAACTTCTGCCTGAGGAGGAGTAACCCTTCAGGCTGAGAGTAATATCAAGAAATAATAGTTGAGTTTGAAATAATTTCTAATTCACTTTTTAAAAATAGGCTTTAAGGGAGAAACAAAGATATTGAGGAAGGAGGGAGAGTGAGAGGTCTGTGAAGAGAGAAACAGAGCAGCAAGCAGCTGAAGTACAGTATTGCCCGCCGGGTGCCAGATGTGCATGGGGACACATTCGCTCATGTCACTTGACACCCAGGAAGCTAACAGTTGTACATCAGTGCTCCCTCTTATGGAAGAGGGAGCTGAGGCTTAGAGAGGTAAAGCTGGCTAGTCAGTGGGGGAGCTGGGATTCAAGGCTGAGCTCTTTCCACAACACAACATTCCTAGCATCTCTTCCTCTCAATTTAAGAGCTTGTACATGTGTATCAACAACCCTAATGCAAACTTTTAAGAACTATAAAGCTCTGGAATAAATTCTCTACCTTACAGCATCTGTGAGGGACCAAAAAGATAAGAGCACCTTCTAGAACCAAACTTCAGCTTTCCATCAGTAGAGAAATCCACCCAGGACAAGACCCATGGGCGGTCCATGATAGAAGAGACTTGCCAATATCATTGTGGGGAATCTCATCTCTTTCGTTATAGTGGCTGTACTTGAATATCTTCTCCACTCCAAAGCTCTGCTCATGGGATTCTGTCTTCTTCAGGTCCTGGTCCCCTAGCACCACTTTTAGATGCCTGGTTTTTATGCTGCAAGGGAAAGTACGATGATCAGGAAGAAGCCCTGGGACTTGAGAGACTGGAGCCAAGTCCTGGTTCGCTCCTGGTGAGCTATGTGACGTTTGACAAATGACCCAACCATCTGCAGCCTTGGCATCCTCATCCGTAATCATCATCTTGCTCACAGAACTTTGCTGTGTGGTCCAAATAAGATAATGTGAGAAAACTGCTTTGTTAATGGAATAGTCTCCAAATTTAAGCTATAACTTGTATCCTGCATTTCCTGGGAGACCTCTCATTCCCCCCAGACTTTGCTAAAGAGCAGCCAATTAATGTCATGAACAAATATTCTTGGGAGATGCTAATGTTTGCATGTTCGGCCTCTCTTGAGGAACACCTCCTAGAATCCCAGAAGAAATTGTTTAATAGCAAAGTGGGACTAGAATACCTTCAAGGCCATCTTCAAAACCTGGGCTACCTGGGACCAGCCCCGACTATGAACTTAGGGAACTCGGGAAGGTGGTGATTCTTCAGGCTCCCCAGAGATGCTGGCTTCTCTAAGGCACACAGGAGTCATGACACCTGGCCTGGGAGGCTCGTTGGTGATGGCATCAGATGGGAGCATGTTATTTTTCTCTATTCAGGGCAGGGCTGGAGAGGTTCAGGAAGCAGGTAGATCTAGGTTTGCAGCCGACTTGTCCACTTACATCCCACATGATGTTAGGCAAAGTGCTAAACCTTCCAAAACTCAGGGTCCTCATTTATGAAATGAGAATAAGAATCAGCTCGATCTGTCCCTGTGCCAATAATTTCTGAACATTTGCTCCTTACGAAGATCTCAGCTAGGCGTGAGGGTTACTACAGTTAATAAAAGATCAAAATCTATGTCTTCCCTCGGCTGGTCTTCCAGGGAATAGTTTTAAGGATTGAATGTCATCATAGTTGTGATGCACATGCTAAGCATGCTAGACATGGCAGCTCTTTTCCTTCTGGTTTCAAGGAGCCACTCTTTTGCTCTTGGAGCTAGATCAGCCCAGATCCTGCCAGAGTCACCAACATGCTGCTCAGATGGGAAGGAGAAAACAGCCCTATAAACCCAAGTCTCCCTGGCCTCTGCTTCCAGCAGGCACCTACTCAGTGCAGTGGGCGGCAGTGAGCACCCAGCAGGGGTGGATCAGCGCTCCCCCACAGTAGTGGCCCTGGGGCATGGAGACGGTCTGCCGCAACAAGGTCTGCAGGGACGCCTGCCAAGGGTGCTTGCCCGCCGTGCTCTTAAAGCCCCCATAGATCCTCTTGGCCTTCCTCCCTGCTGTCTCGGTCCTCCCACACGAGCCGAACTGTGAAAACGTGGTCAGGGGCTCTGTGGGGTCTTCCTTGGGGCCGGCAACATCTGTGAGACACAAGAAAGACACATCACACTACTTGCTCTCCCTCTAGATCCTCAGAAAGACCTGGTAAGAAGTATGACTGAGTCCAGCAGCTTCGCAAGTGTCCAGAGCTAAGAGTGCATCCAGGGTGGGCATATAGCAGGTGCACAATTAGTATTTGTTGAATACGTTAATTAATACACCAGTCTATAGAATTAACAATGAAGATGATGTTTTTCCTTCTTATTTCAAAATGTATCACACACACACACACAAAAGACATGTGTGTAATATATAAATCCATCACTGGGTACGTACTTGACTATTCATGAATGCATATGTATATTTTGGAGGTTTTTTCAGTGTATAGGGGAGCATATCTAGAGGAAGTAGAGTGAGAGATATAAGATATTTGCACAGATAACTATCATACAAAGGAGAGAACAATAAGTGTTGCACTGAGTAGTACTATTCCATTCCATGGGGTTTTCAAGGAGGGAGAGATTATACTTCACTTGGTAGATCATGGAGGGCTTCCTGGAGGAGGGATGACTTGAGATAGTTCTCAAAGAAGGGTTGGCTATGGACAAGAGCAGATATGGGATGGAGTAGTATAGACAGAGATGACCATAAGAGCAAAGGGACAGAAGTGAAACTGTCCAGGGAGGTAATCCCATTGATCAGGGTGGGAGGGTGCATTGTTCTAGACATGGGTAGAGAGGTGGGCCAGGGTTGCCTGGCAGAAAGACTGTGAGGCTGGAATTCAGTCCATGTTGCATCCTGAGAAGCTATGGAGGCCAAGCCAATATTTTATCACCATTGTACACTGAAGGCCTGGCATAGTGCCTGGCACACGGCAAGCAATCAATAAATATTTGCTGATGCACTAACTGGGAGTCAGGAAACATCAGTTTACAGTCGGCCCACTGGCCTGAGTTTACAAAGGTATCCAAGCCTGCTCAGCATTCTGAGAGGGGAGCAGAGGATCAGGCAGTTGGGTTGCCAATGGGATGGCGATTGGTAGAGCAAGGGTGGTGGGAGGACGAGGGTGGGAGAGATGGATGCCAGGAACATCTGTCTATGGATCTGCAACCTCCCCACTACCAGGGCCTCCAGACAGCCATGGTCTTACCTAAGGCTGAGCAGGCTGAGATATCACAGTATTCCCATTTCACTTTCCCATGGTTTACTTTAATGAAACACCAGGGCTTTTTGTCTCCATCGGGGTTTCTAAAATAAAAAAACAAAATAACCCAGGTCAAGGCTTGGTGAACACACAGGACCTCATTAAAGGACCTTTGCATAAAAGAGTACCAAGTTCTTGCCCTCCCCCTGGGACCGCATTCCATTCCCTTCCTCCAACAGGTGAGCAAACTCTGGCATATAAGGATGGGCACAGTTTTTTGGTAAAGCCTTAACTTCCAGAGGAGAATCCCAATGACCAGGAAGTAGTTCACAAGCCTTATACCAGATCCATAGGACATATCAAATTGTTTGCAGGAAAGGAAATGAGATTCCTGTTGAAGATCCTTATTTGTCAAGAAAGTAAAATGACCATAGAAACATGGTGAGAGTAGGGCTCCCCTGCCCAAATTTCCAAATTCCACGCTTGGGAATTCTCTGAGCAAGGCCGCCATGGGGTCACCCTGAAGACAGCTCCTTGATGGGAACAGCTCAAGATGGGTGAAAGTGGAAGGTAACTTGTGTTTTGTGCAAGGAAATCCTCTTGTTTAGTGGAATCAGTTTAACAGCATACCAAAAAAAAATCCCTGCCCCTTGATTGCAGATAATGTATGCCCTTGGCCTTGTTTAGACATTGGGAGGAAGCCAACAGAATGGTCTGGAGGCAGCAGAAGGGGAAGAAGGTAATTAGTCATCCCCAGGAATAGAAGTGGCATTATCCTTACTTGCGAAAACCTGAACATCCTTGTAGCAGAGACTACGATGCTCATAGACATTCCCTTTTCTCCTCTGCGTTTCTCTCTTGAAGTTATGTGGGTCTATGTGAGACTTTTTTCGGCCAATGAAATATGTTTGTAGAGATGATGTGTGACTTCTAGGTTGAGGCAGTAAAAAGCTCACACTCCATTTTCCAGTCTCTCTCTTCCCTTCTTGGGTATTTGAGCAACTTTGTGGAGCTAAGAATCTCCCCTAGTCCCCACCCTACATGACACATGTATCATTAGTGAGAAAGAAACTTTGATGTATTCAAGCCACTGTGATTAGGGGGTTGTTTGTTACAGCAGCATACCCTAACCTATCCTGAGTAGGAAAACCTCCCTAGAAAGAAAGCTGATGAGGTCAGTGCTCCATTCCAAAGTTTCTCAGCTGGCCCAGGAAAACTAGGAGGAGGGGAATGGACAAATAAACCCTGACAAGCAGTCAAGACTGAGCACAGGAAGAAGATAAGTTTTACCTGCAGAAGTTGTGCTCCCCAATCCCATGGACCTCAGCATTCTCCATAAACATGTTGTAATTCTCCTGCAAGAGGAGGTGGGAGTTCCAGTAAAGGCATAAGTGCTGGTTGACTGTCCTACTCATTTTCCCTCGGTAAGAGTAGCCATCACCAACATAGCAGTCATCAGAACCTCGGAGAGAGCAGGCAGGGATGTGAGAACTGAGAGCAAATGGCATGCTGCTCCCGAAGAGGACTTGGCAGGTGTATCAAGTGGTGAGAGGATTGGGCCTGAATATTGATCACCCTGAGATTTCACCACAAGGTCCCAGAAGGAAGGTGACTTGAATGTTCCACATTCAACCCAGTTTAAAAACATGAACTATTGTGGTTGTGGTGGGTGCTTTAATTGTGGCTCACACAAGAACGGGTGGCATGGGTTGAGGCCCAGGGATGCCCAGGTGTGTTTGATTTGCCTGCACTGCATCCAAGTTTATTCCTTTCTTTACACGGAGCCAGACAAACCCTATGCCCGTAGGTCAGAAGGCTGAGGCAATAGTAGAGTTTGGAAATCTTGACTTGAACCTCATTCTGGCAACAAAACTCAGAGAGACAAGGATTCCAGAGGCCTCACTTACGGCCCTGAGTTTCTGATGAAGTGGTGGTTGAGACCCCTACCTATTTCACAGAGTCTCCCCTGGAACCCATCAGGACAGGTACAGATAAACTTGGATCTCCGCCTATGCCGGGAGCAGGTGCCACCATTTTGGCAAGGATTTGGCTTGCACACAGGAACCACTGTGAACACAGGAAGTGAGGCCAGGAAGGCTCTTCAGAAGCAGTTGCAGCTACATCTGAGATGACGAGGAGATATGGGTGGGACTCTTCTGGTGTCCATCCTTTCACAAAAGATGGGTCACCAAAGGGGAAAGACAGACTCACTGACGCTCTAGTAAATATACACACAAACCTTAAGATCATAAACAAGCATGAATGAAGCAATATGATGGCGGCCATGCAAAAAAGAGTATATAGTCATGCGTAGCTTAACAACAGGGATACATTGTGAGAAATGCATCATTAGGCCATTTTGTCATTGTGCAAACATTATTGAGTATGTTTACACCAACTTAGATAGGATAGCCTACTATACACCTAGGTTCTATGGAACTAACCTTATGGGGCCACCATCATATATGCAGTCCATCGTCAACTGAAATGTCGTTATGTGGTGCATGACTGTATAAGTAGATGGGTCACTCAGGAAGGAATAACAAGAGGCATAGCCTTAGCAGGAATTTGGGGGCCTGTCTGAGCTAGAGTGAAGCTCGGTTCTGTCCCTTGATAGCTGTGTGACCGTGAACAAGTTAGTTAACCTCTCTGAACTTCAGTTTCTTCATCTGTAAAACTCTTCCTTGCAGTGTTTTTGGGAGAATTTGAGAGAGAAAATAAATTTCTTGGGACAATGCCTGACTCATAGCAGTGACTTAATATAGATTTATTACCCTACATGGCCCATTCCAGGAATAGACCAGGGCTTACTTCCTGGAGGAAGTGGGTTTCAAGATGCTTCTTTCTGGATGGGAAGGGACACAGATCAGGACTCTCTAGAGATGATGAATCTTAAATAGTCCTAGTTAAAAGGGCCATCTTGGATGCCACTAAAACATCGGATGTATCCAGACTGCCACACAATAGGACTCAGACACCTCAGGCACAAACCAGGAAAGAGAGAGCCTAGCACAGAAGGGGCCTCCAGCACTTACCTGTGGAGCAGTCTTGACCCGTGTAAGGGTATCTGCAGGCACAGTGGTAGTAGGGAGGACTCTGAGTAATGAGACATTCACCTCTGCCACAGGAGTTGTTCTTGCACTTGCTTTGCACTGTAGGAGATCCATAGAGAAGTAGGGCCAAAGTACAGGACATTATTTGGGGATACCTGTACACTACAACGTTTGGGGCGGGGCTGGTTGAGAGCGTTTGTGCCCTTGTCCATGGTCCTGAAACACCATGCTACCTCCTAGACAAGGCTTTTCTCTTATCCTTGGGTCATGGATGATTGCTTCCCAGTTCCTTCCAGCGCTCACAGTCTTTATTATTGTATCTTTATAAAAGTTTTAATAATTTTTACACCTTCAACAAACAAATAGAGCTGCAATTTGAGTTTCTCCATTTCACAGCTGATTTTATATTTCATTTACAGTTTTGTCATTCTTCCAAGAAGGTGAGGGACGAACCTGGGTACTATGCTTGTGCCTGATATCCCAGATCACCCTGAAATATTTATTGAAGGACGTGTAGGGTTGAAAATGGAAGGAATAAATGAAGAGAACACAGAGGAAAGAAGTCAACTGTAAAAACCTATATAAAGACCCTCACTGCTTCCCCCACTCCAGTTAAATGGTTGCCAGGTGGAGCACAATCCAGGTTCTATCTAGGGGTGCAATTAGCCCATAGAGCTCTATTCCCGATGCGTTATTACATAGCCTCATGTTATGCCCACAAGAGGTCACTAAAGGCAGGCACAGCTTTATCAGAATCTCTGAGCGAGGATGGCAGGAAGACAGAACATGGAGCCAGGAGTCAGGCACCAGGGCTCTAATTTCTGCTCTTCTCCTAACTAGCTGCGTGACCGTGAGTGAGTCCCCTGAACTCTCTGGGCTCCCTTTCTCTAACTGGGCTGGTTGGGCCTTTTGTGCCCTGTGATCCTTCCTGCTCTCTCATTTGAGAACAATATTTCTCTGTTGTAGTCAGTCTAAACACTCTAAACAACAACAACAAAAGCCTTGAGTTTGTAATACATCTTGGTTAGAATCCATCTTTTTTCTCCTGTTAGCCTCAATGTTCTCATCTGTAGAATGGACATACTAGCCCTATCTAACATGTGGGGGTGAGGATTCAGTGGGATGCTGCCTGTGACCATGCTGAGGAATCCATTATGCATGATTCAACATGTGTGGTTACAATCCTTTCCATGGGACCCCTCAGCCCTTCCTTACTCCCTAGAGTTGGAGGAGGGACAGCCTCTTGTTCAGCTCGGAGGGCGGAGTGAATCCAGTGAAGGTGCACTCACCGTTCTGACACCTGTTTCCAGAGAAGGGTGCTGGGCAGCTGCACGTGAAGGTGTTCCCATTGACGAGGCAGTCCCCATCATGTTCACAGGGGTTGGAAAGGCATGGATCTAAGACATGTGGGCAGAGGTCAATGTTTGCAATGAACAGCAGATGAGAAGCCCCCTCTTGCTCATTGAATTTCAGTGTCCTGCCCAAATGAGGAAATAACCACACAGCCAGTGATTGGGGAAAGGGAGCTACATGCATTGCCTCTAAAGAGCAAGGACGGGCTGGCCCCGTGGCCGAGTGGTTAAGTTCGCATGCTCCACTGCAGGCGGCCCAGTGTTTCGTTGGTTCGAATCCTGGGCGCGGACATGGCACTGCTCATCAGGCCACGCTGGGGCGGCGTCCCACATGCCACAACTGGAGGGACCCACAACTGAGAATATGCAACTATGTACCTGGGGGCTTTGGGGAGAAAAAGGAAAAAAATAAAATCTTTAAAAAAAAAGAAAAAGAGCAAGGAAGACTGCAGTCACACGGCCAGAGAGAGGGATTCAGGTTAGCAAGAGGACAGGCGGGAAAGAATTGTGGCTGCCTCTCCTCGGCCTGGCTTTGGACGGGGCCTTTCTCATTGAGAAACTCCTCTTTTCCATCATCAGTGTTTTTCTCCTCCCAGTCTCACTGGGAGTGCCACAGGGTCTGTCTCTGATGCTGAAGACATTTCACAAGCCTGAAGACCTCCCCTACTCCCAGGGCCCGGGGGTGGAGGTCAGGACTGGGGAAAGAAAACCCACCCCTAATGAAACATAGGCTTTCTGAACATCAGGAAAGAAGACCAAAGGCAAGAGGGTGACAGAAGAATTGACGGCGAGGAGGAAATGACCCAGTGGCCTTCATCTTTCTTCAACTACTTGTTCAGTTAGATTTTGTCATATTTCATCTGTGTCTCTGGCTTTTCATGGTTGTCTGAATGGATACTCCCTTGGGGAATTCTTTATCCTTCTGTTCACACACATTGTTCTTTGGTTCAGGCACTAGGATCCCTGGGCCTGGCTCTTGTTTTGATGGTCCCTTCTGATGTTCCCCTGATGCCCCGTATCTTGGCCCTGCCTTCCAGGCCACTTCGCACAGTTACACAGCTTTTATTCCAGTTGCTAAGTGCTTTCCATTCCTTCTCCTGGTTTAGTCACATGGCTTTGCTTGGGCCCAGCTTCTCATTTTCCTTTCTGTCCCATTGCTTGGGTTAAGTAGCCACAAAAACAAAAACAAATGTGGTAGAAGCACATGTGTGAGTAAATACACATCCACACACACGCACACATACACACACATGCACACATACATACACATACACATCCTAACAACTGTGCAAGGCTTCTGAAGAGTAAAAAAGTAAAAGAAAAACACAGTACAAGTAGAAGGGAAGAAAAGTTCCTACGCCAAATTTGTGAACACTACAATCTGATGCCTAATGCTAACTCAAACTCTTCTTTGTAATTAGGCCCACCTGTAATCAGAGCCACAGGAATGATTTTGAACATGACTCCTATTCACGGTGTTAGGAGACCTGGGGATGAGGCACTAACTTGCTGTATCAACTTGGCTGAGTCAACTCCTCCCTTGGCCTCATTTGCTTCATCTATCATTGGGGATGAAGACACTGTTTCTAAGAAACACTCGCATCCTCATAGTGTATGATTCTACCTGAAAAAGAGCCAGTCTAACTAATTTCTTCCATATCTATTTCATGATGCTGGTCAGAGAGGAGGAAGAGAGAGAGGCCCTTGCGTATGTCCACGCATAAATTCCCCTCCAGGTGTGCTGCCCTCCTCCCAGGAGGGCCCCCCAGGGCAGCTTTAGTACCTACCATCCTCTGTGTAATACCAGTCAGGATTCTCAGGGTTGGCAAGAGTGCTGCTGGTGCTCTCTTCCTGGTCGTAATACTCCTGGCTGTTCTCATATTGGTCTGGGGTCCAATCTGCACAAGTGGGAGCAGGACAGAAGAAATCACCATCATTAGACCCAAATAAAACAACATTTTACTTTGTTGAATGCCCTTTTTCCCAAAGATTTAAAAGTCCTGAAGGAGGAATCGTGTCTTTCCAGCTCCTCACACTGATGGGGTGGACAGAAGGGGTCAGGTATCAAGCATTTTTGTTTGGAGAGTGTTATGACCCAGCCAGGCAGTGTGGACATTGGACAGTGTCAAGAGCACCTGACTGGAAAGGGGCAGAGGATGGAACTGTGACGTTGGACAAGCCAACTGTGTTCTTGGTGCCTCAGTTTTCTCATCTGTAAATGGCAGGAAGATGATTGGGGCCCAGAAGGTCTCCAAGATCCCACAGGAGAGCTGCCCAAGGTCATATCCAGTGGCACTTGAGTGCCTTGTTCGGTGGTTCTGTGAATGAAATTTCTTGATGGGACTGTATTTAGTCACTTCAGCTTAATGAGGTCAGAGAAACTTGTCACCGTCCTCTTGGTTGCAGCATCAAACTTCTCCCAAGTTATATCTATAGAGTCATCGTTAACAGCTAATATTTATTGAGCCTTTACTATGTACAAGGCCTGTGCTAAGCACTTTATAGGAACCATCTCATTTCATCCTCATGAAAATCTAGGAGATGTATTGTTATCTTTACTTTTAGTTGAGAAACCTGAGACTGAAGAGGTTAAAGAGGTTTGCCCAAGGTCACACTGCTAATAGACGGCAGGATATGAAGTAACGCAGTTTGCCTCCATAGAACCCCTAAATTGCAGCAGCTCAATGGCAACACTCTGTTGCTTCAACTGGCCTCTTACGCTGCCTCAGATGCAGCTGCACTTACCCTTGGGAACGGGGTTCAACCATCCCCACTGCATATCCAGCCTGCTAATGAGGAATCGCCCAAGGACAACCTTGAGAAGGCCCATGGACCTTGCCCAATGAACCAGATGGCATTGTATGGAGTTGCCCATGGTTATAAACTCCACATTAGGCCAGTCCATTGGGAAGAGCCGGTGTGTGTAAGGCTGGACTCAAGTCCTTTGTTGTCTTGGACCTTGAAAGATATTGGTAGCTCTGTGGCTCATGGAGAGAAGTTTGGGATTTGAAGAAAGTTGGTTGACTTTGCTCTCTCCAGCTGGCGGGAGTGTGGCAAGTAGGCAAGTTGAAGCTGTTAGGAAGCCGTCGGGTGATGCATATGATAATGAGGCAGGAGCACATGCAGATAGCTGACTTGAAAAGGCACTCCCACCGAGCCAGCTGATGGCTAGAGGATGGCGCTTTACCTAAGCCTGATTATCAACCACATTATCTTCCTCGTCTCTCAGTCATTCCCTTATAGTCTTTATCTCTTTGGCTTTTGAAAAACCGACTTTTGCACAATGGCTGTTTTATATTTCCCATTAAAATGGAACTATCTTTTTATTTCTTTTTTGAATACGCCAACTCTGGTTCCTTGCCAAAGTTTCACCTCATTTATCACAGTGTCAAGTCAAGACTCCCTCTGCTTGCTCATTATTTCTCCTGAGCTCCTTTTCCCCACTATGAAAATGCTCCCGGAGGAGGCCACCTCTCCCAGGACGAGGATCTAGGTTGAAGATAAGGCCATTGTCTTCCCGGAGCAAATAAAGTTTCTTTCCATCTAGCGTGATAAAGCAGAGAAAGAGAGTGAGAAAGTGGGAAAAAAAATGCTTTTCTGAGTTTGACATGAAAGGTTTCAAACTGACATTTAGGAGAGACAATGGGGTTTGGTAAGGAGATGACTGCAACGTTTATTTATTTCTTTCTTCTTTGGAGAATTTATTTTTGTTTTTCTAACAGTGGTTTAGAGATAAGTGCCTTTACATTGCTCCTGTCATTTCCCCCATCACTCCCCCAGGTTGAGGGTCAGACTGGCTAACCTTGGCTAGGCCATTGAGAATCCTCCCCTTTGCATATATTTGAAGACGGGGAAGAATTTTACATAGATGGAATGATGTGACTTTTCCAGTTGACGAGGGATGGAGGAAATGTCTGCTGGAGGCTTTTGACTTGAAACCAGCCCTATTACCAAGGCAAGAAGTCCCTGCTATTCTCCAGGGCCCAGGGTCCCTGGTGGAGGTGGATAGAAGCAGTGCAGGCTTGGCAGCCCCAGATCACCAGAAGCCATCCAGCTGGAGGGCTGTGCAAGGGAAGGCACCTAACCCCCTTACGCTTAGGCGGGGCTGCAACATGTTTTGAAAGTGCTTTATAGGAACATCATCCGGGAGGGTTTCTCCATCTCCAAACTTAAAGCTTATTTTGTCTTTCCTATTCTGCTGGCACTTAATCCCATTGTTTATGTAAGAAACACATGTACTGTAGACCTACAAAGGGCCAAGTATTATGCTAGATGCATGAAGGCATTGGGAATAGTGGAGAGTTATACACCCAAGAGTGGGATGTGGCCTCCAGGCAAAGGAGCCTCTAGTCTGGTTTGAGTGGGGGACGAAAGCCTGCCCAGGAAAGAGAGGAAAGGGTAGTGAAGAGGTAGGGAAGCTGGAGGTGGCCACGTTGAGGCCTGGGAGCCTCGAGTTCCACACTGGCCCTCAGGTGTGATATGAGCCAATCTGCTGGGAAAAATGGCCCTGATTCTCCATGCCCTCGTACCCACACCTTTTACAATGTGACTTTGCAGCTCCTCCCACCAAAAGATGGAATCGATTTCCCTACCCCTTGGGTCTGGGCTGGTCTTAGGACTTGCTTTGGCCAATGGCTTGTGGTGGAAGGACAGTGTGCCAGCTGACAGTGTGCCTAGACTTCAAGAAGTCTTGTGTACTTCCTCTCTCTCTTTCCTGCCCTCACAGACCCCTGTGACCGCCATGTGAACAACTCTGGCCTATTGGACAGGAGGATAAGAGAACATGTGGGGCTGCAGCAGACCCAGGGCTCCCACCCAAGGCCTCAGTCATATGAGAAGGCCCAGACAGTCCACAAGTGACGGCTGACACGGGAGGAGGCCCAGCCAAGATCAGCTGAGCCTGGTCCAGACCAGAAGAACCACACACTGAACCCAGTCTAAATTGCCAACCCACAGAATTAATATCTAAATACCTGGTTAGTGGTTTAAGCCACAAAGTTTGGGGTAGTGGACTATGCAGTAATAACAAGTGGACACAAAGGGCTTGATGGATATTGGGTTGCCAGTGGGATAAGAATGTTAACTACTAGAGCGTTCCTCAGTGGCCCAGGTGGCTGCGGAGTTTTAGGTTTCATGGCTGGATCTCAGATGGCACCTCTCTTGTGTGTTTGCATTTAACTTGGTTGATCTGATTGGTTTCCTCCAACTAGTTAGTCGGTTTCTTAAGAGCCAGGGCCATGTCTATTCCTCTTTCTACCCCACAGTGCCCAGCACAGAGCCCTGTAGACAGTTCTATGTGTGGACAGATCAGTTTTTCCCTCTGTGGCCACCCCTCGCTTCCTACTGGTTGACCAGCACACAGCGGACACACAGCTCTGCCAGCAAAGCTGTGTCTGTTGGGAGCAGAGGAAAAAGGCAATTTAGGAGAGAAACTATGTGAGATCTGGGTCATAGATATTTGGTGAAGAAAACGCATGATAAGCTCTGTAGAAGTCTGGAAACTTGTCCAAGCGCTTTCCTGGGTAGAGAGGGGGCTGCAGCCTGCATGAAATGTGGTCCCATTGGTCAATTAGAAAAACACTCCAGGCTCAAATACAGATAATCTGAGAATTTCTATAGGCTATGGAAAAGGTGGGATCTTTGTGGGAAGAATGAGGCAGCTGTCAGAGGCATTTTATATTCAGTATAAAAAGCAATCCTTCTGGATTTGTCTGTTATCAGAGTCTGTTTCTAGAATTTATCAGGAAGAATAGTGAGAGTGTCCTGAGTTAACCCAAATGACCCTAGTAATAGGTTTGTATCTCTTGAGTATTTTCCATGTATCAGATGCTATACTAAATAAATGTGGTTGCCCATAATCTTATTTAACCTTGAAACAACCCTATGACATAGGTATTATGATTCCTGTTTTACAGAAAAGGAAAAACGAAGGCAGAAGGAGAGGGCATCGAACCCAGCTCTACCCCACTTCAAGTCTGGTCTGCTTTTTTATGAGCCTTGGAGCCTCCTGTGGGGTTGAATTTCATGAAATTCCATGGGTTTTAGCTCCAGGAAGTAACATGCACTGGGAGATCTTTTTAAGCTCATGCCCCAGGTCCCTCGACCAGATTACCATGGTCCATACCCACGGTCTCTCGGAAGAACTCAGGGTTCCTGTGACGGAGGCTTTGCAGCTGCTCTGGTTAAAGAGCTTGCCAGATGTGTGGAACGGAATAAAAATGCCTGGAATGCCGTCCCTGTTGGCATCATCCATCACCATGGCACAGACGGTTCCTCCCAGGGCCTCCCCCAAACCCAGCCCTGTCGGCCTGCATTTGACGCTTCCAATCCGGCTGACAGGGTGAGGCCAGTGGAGACCCCACTGGAAGGCAGCAGGACCGCTGATGGATGGGCTAGGCCTGTGTCGCCAGGCAGAGCCGAGCCAGCTTTGAAGAGGCATTTCTGCAGGCCTATTGGCTGTCACGTCACCTGTTTCGGGGAAGTGAGCAGGGCCCGTGATGTTTGATGGCCACCTCCTCCGCCGCCCAGTGGGGACTGTGGCTTGGGCACCTTCTCCTCCAGCAACGCCCTCACCATGCACAGTCTCCAGCAAGACCAACTAAAGTGGCACCTTGCCTGTGGATGCGAGCACAGCGTTTCCTTAGCCACGCTATTGTCCAAAGCTGCCGGGATCTGACAAATTCCATCAAAGCACAACCCCCGAGTGAAATTAAATCAGACACTAACGGGGGTGTGTTTAAAACCTAACCTGCTCTCTGCAGAAAGGCCCAGTCACTATATCCCACTCTGCTCCACAGCCAGATGCTGACAGAACACCTCGAGACAGACTCGGGAGACCAGGCGTAGCATGCTCCAGGGTCCCTTCATCTAGTCACCAAATTATCAGTAGCTATTGGCAGAGTTCTTATAGAGCCCTGAATCTCAGGATGTTAAATACAACACTCTCCCCTCCCTACTAAGTGTTTTTTAAGCCTGTGCTTAAATACCACCAGTGATGGGGAACTCACTACCTCTCAAGAGCCCAACAGCCCATTCAGATTTTTGGACAACAGATGATTAGGAAGTTCTTCCGGTTTGCAGATCAAATCTGACTCTATAGTTTCCAATCTATTTAATTAAAGCTAAAAGGCTTATAGACAAATAGACTGTGTCCACTCCCTTTTCCATGCTCTTTTCTCAGTAGGGTCACTGCTTACAGTTGTTCATGTTGTTCACTGCACAATTCCAGCCTACCATAAACTCATAGTCATTGTGGATGTCTTTTACAACTTTCTGGCAGATGGCATTAAAGCGTCATGAGGTAAAGACTCCTCTAATTCCCACAAAGTCCACCTCACGGACAAATACTTGAAGAAAGTGAGGTCCCTTGAGTCTTCTGTGCTCGTGTTTCTTCCACTGTATGATCCCACAGTTCTGCAGCTCCATGTCACAGACGCCCAGACCAAAGCCACCCCTTCGACGAGCCTGAGCAGTTTGTGTTGAAGGCTGGGGAGAGGGCGGGTCTTCCAGCCTCTTGGCTTTTTTCTGTGTGGATGCTGGCGTGGCCAGCCAGGGATCCCTCTGAAACGTGGTTCTTTCAAGGAACTGAATTATGTGTTGTTGAACCAAACAGTTTCCTTTGCTTTGGGGAAAGAAACAGACCCTCTTATGCATGCCCTACTCATGCATATTTCCGTCCAGTTCCACAAACATTTCCTGAGTGTGTGGTGGGACAAAGGCCAGGCATCTCTTGCACAAGTCTGTCTGTCTGCCCCCCGCCCCCAACCCGGGGCTTTGCTACAGGAGAATATTGACTGTCAGGTGAATTTGGCCCAGCTACAGCCATCTTTGCTCTAAATAAACCCTTGATCCCAAGTTTAGTCGTGCCTGCAGTCTCCTTATGCCATCTGCCTGGCTCTTGTCCTCTGTGGGGCCAGCCCAGGTCGCTGCCTGTGGGGGACACTGGCCTCTGCCCCGATCAAGTAGGGCGTGGAGCTTTCTCCCTTGGGTCTCGGAGCTGCAAAGGGTGACCCAGACCCAGAGTCAGAGCCCACGAGTAGATGGTGTGGCTGGAGGGAGCAGCCCTGCTCCTCCTCACTCCCTGAGGCCTGGGCGTAGCTGAGGGCACCAGGCAGAGGCAACAGGAAAGGGAGAAGGTAAAGGGGGGAGTCTGTGAATGACAGAGCCCCTGCAAAAGAGCAGGGCTCACTGGGTAGTGGATGCATTGAGTCTTCAGGAAACAAACCAGGTGGGGGTCCTGGTGGGAGGCCATCACCAGGGGTAGGTCAGCCTGGCGGCTGCCTGCATGACACCAACACCTTCCTCTCAGCATAGAGGTGCTGGCTCCCCACTCAACGGGGGTGCAGCAAGTGGGGGTGGCACAGGGTTGGCCCACTTGGAGCCAGGCATTGCACAACGACACCCTCACTTTGAGTTGGCCTTGTCATCTCATCTCAGCCACTAATGGGCTACGTGACCTGGGGCAAGTTGCTTCCCCTCTCGGGCCTCGGTTTCCTCCTCTGTAAAATGAAGGGGTTTAACTGCACCAGCAATTTTTCCCATGGGGTCCTGAGACTGGGCATCAGGGGGGTCCACGGGCAACTCAAAATTGCGGAAAGCATTGCACGTATGCAGGGACATACAAACACCCAGGAGTGCGTTTTTCTGGGAAAATTCTAGAAGGAGTCCATGACACTTCTGAACCATTTGAACGCTGAGGTTGCTCCAATACTTACATGCATGGGCCCCCTTTCCTCCACCCCAGAGCCAGCCTGTGGTTGGTGGGGAGCCCGAGGGCCATCCGCGCACTCACCTGGGTCTGGGTCTACGAGCAAGGACATCAGGGAGAACTGAAAAACAAAAGGACACAGAGCAGCACGAGGGTGAGTCCACTGAGCTGGCCAGGTGCTTCCTGAGCTCCTGAAACTTGAGAAGAGCCTTCCCTGGAGCCATATCCAGGGCACAGGGGCACTGGGTGCGTTCTGATGGCTGCAGCTGGGACCGGGTTGGAGGAACAGGGTGGGGCCTATTTGAAGACGTCCCTCCCCCGTTCCTGGCTGGCTGAGCATACAAAGCATTGTCTTTTCTCATCGGTCTGGATGTGTGGCACTTGCACTTACTGTCCTCATGTTGGAACCTGGCTGCCCAGGTATTGACGATCTTGTTAGTTACTACGGTTGGCATGCACTGAGCATCGCCTCTCTGCCTGACTGTGCATTGTTGCATTTAATTCTTAAAACAGCCCTACCAGGATGCTTTTATTAGCCTGTGTGCCGGTGAGAAAACTGAGGCTCAGAGGTCACACAGCTGTGATAGAATTCAGATTCACGCTCAGGTCTAGGTGATTGCCTCGGGCGACAGCTCCTTGGGGTTGGAGACAGACACTTAGAACACTCCAAGGACTTCCCATTGTTATTGGAACAAAATGCAAACTCCTGCCAAGACCCAGAAACCTCCTCCCATACCTCTCCCTCCCACTGCTCCTTGCTAATCTCCAGCCACACCTGGGTTCAAAATGGCACTAGCCAAGCTCCTCCCACCTCAGGGCCTTTGCACTTGCTGTTCCCTCTGTCCGGAAAGCTCTCCCCTCACCATCACTAGGTCTCAGCTTAAATGTCATCTTCTCAAGGAGGCCTTCCCTGACTCCTCCATCGGAATGACAACCCCTCTATTGTTTTGTTCCTCGTTCCTTTCCTCCATGATCCTCATTATAGCATGTAGTTTTATATTTGTTTGCATGCTGTCTGTCTCTCACAGAAGACTCTGTCCTCTGGAAAGGCTAAGATTCGTCTGTTTCATCACTGATGTATTTACCCCATACCGAGCATAGTTCTTGGCACGTGGCACACCTCAAAAAGTTTTTGCTAAATAAACAATGATATAATGAGTTCCTTTTAGAATGCAGTACTTACCAGAAGAAGACAGTTGTACTCATTTAATAGCTGGAAAATTTTCTTTCACTTAAATCACAGGTCAGCAAACCGAGGCCCTTGGGCCAAACTCAGCAGTTGTGGTTTTATAAATAAAGTTTTATTGGAACACGGCCACGCCCATTTGCTTATGGCTTGCCTATGGCTGCTTTTGTGCTGCAGCAGCAGGGTAGTTGAGACAGAATGGCCCCAAATATTACCTATCTGGCACTTTACAGACAAAGTTTGCTGACCTCTGATTTAGAAAAGGAGAGTTCCCTCACCTGACAGGGTTCCCTTTGCGTCTTGGCAGCCAAAAGGCTGCGGTCAATGTGATCACCTTCCCGGTACCCACTTCAGTCTGGGCAGTTCCGTGTATTTTCTTCCTCTACCCTCAGCAGAAGTTTTAATTTTCTACTTTACTGTGGGCCTCCTTAGCCCTTCTGGGAATGAGGCAGGTGATAAATTAGGAAGGAAAGGTAAAAAGGAAAGAACGCATCCTGACGTGATGCACCAAGGGCACGACATCAACAAGGAGAGTTCTGGACAACAATGCTCATCCTTAAGCTCCTCTGAGGAACACGCCAGATCCAACGTGTGGGCATTCGACAAACGACTAGCCTGGATTCTGCAAAACATCAGCATCATAGAAGACAAAAAAGGGTGGGAAGACCGTTCTTATTCAATGAGCCTAAAGAGACACGACGACTAAATGCAGCATGTTATTAAACACAAGTTTTTAGAAAATAGCTATAAAGGTCCCTATTGGGACAATTGGGAAATTTAAAGACAGCCTTATATTAGAGAGTACTACTGTATCAATGTCGAATTTCTGGAGAGTGATGATGGTGTTGTGGTTCTGCAGGAAAATGTCCTTATTCTTAGGAGGGGCCTGCTGAAGCAGTGGGCGTGAGGTCTGCAATTTAGTTGCAAATGATTCAGCAAACCAACCAACCAACCAACCAACCAACACCACAAATACATCTCCATACATGCAAGAGTGAGCGAGAAAGTAAATGAGGCGAGATGCTGGCTGTCACATCCAACTGGGGGGATGGTATTCAGTGCATTATTCTTTCCTCTCGTCTGTAGCCTTGACAAATTACACAAGATAAAGTTGGGGAGGGGAAAGGAATGCAAAGAAAGGAAGAGAGGCCATTTGTTGTCTGGACTGGGCCTCTGTTTAATTGCCCTATGGTCCCCCTGTCCTATTTCTGCAGGAAATGGACAGGGGTCAGTGTTTTATTTTGGTGGGGAGAGGGTTTGACGGTGGGGAGCCCAGCAGAGAAGGGGCAGGTTCAGGCCTCAAGGGTGTTCCTGGACCTGAGGGGCATCTGAAGCTGACTCCTCTGGGCCTGAGTGTCAGGACGGTGCCAAAGAAGGGGTGAGAGAGGGCCCCAAGCATGGATGTCACTCCTCCTTCAGCCTCCCCTCATCGCAGCCAGTCAGCTCTGCCTTGGTCCTGGCCCTTGGCCCGGCCTTGTCTTCCTTCCATCGAGCTGGTCTAGAGGGCAGGGCCTGTCCTTCTTTGTCTGTCTTCACCCAGCCCTGAAGAGATGCCCGCCTGAATTCTCCTGTTTGAGCTGAATAGTTCAAATAGCTGAACTTGGGCTGTGCCTGGCCACCCTCGGCCCTGAGAAGTGGGCAGAAACAGGAGAGAGGACTTCGGGGAACATCTTTCCTCAGGGCCCAGTGTGGAAAAAGCCCTCCAGGACCTGTGCCTGGGCCAGAGCTCCAAATCTGAGCTCCAGACTGGGGCCTGAGGGACAGCCAGGTGCTGTGCTACCCGTGGCCAGCAGGTGGCGGACGTGCCCTTTGCAGCAGCTGGAGCTCAGAGGGAAACCAAACAGCGTGAAAGCTGGACCTTCCGGGTCGGGAGCCCTTCAGACTCCACTGGCTCTCAGGGCATCTGAAGCAGCTGTGCAGCCTGGGCTGCATGTCAGGGCATCCCAGGGATCCTAAGCAGGCCCACTCATTTTGCGAATCATTGGGTCAGTGCACAGAGAGAGGCTGGGGTGGAATGTGGAACCTGGCAGTCTAAACACCAGGCTGGATATCTGGGGGACTGGGAGGGAAAGGCCAGGCCACGCCACTAGCGGTGATGTATGCCACCCATCTGGATCTTGAAACTAACCTGGGTGGTGGTAGGGGGTGGGGCACAATGTTCACCTCCTTTCATCCCCTTATTCCATTCAGTTTTCCCAGAGACAGGAAAATGGTAGAACTCCTACTCCTGGGACTTGCAAATCCAAAAAGGACAATCCCTGATGCAAAAGAAGGAGGAGGGGAAGGAGGAGACAGCCGTGATCTCCGCTGACGTTGATTCAGAGCTGACACTGTGCCAAGGGCTGTGCTAAAAGTGGCACAGGCTTTTGGTCTCATTTATTGCACACAATATTTGACAGTTGAGGTACTAAAATTATGTCCATTTTAGAGGTGATAAAACCGGTTTTCAGGGTGTAAATTGCCCAAAGTACCTCAGCAAGTAAATACGGGAGCTGGGGTAGAGTGGAGCCAGGCTGACCCAGAGCCCTTGTTCCTGGTCTCCACTGCCATGAGGGATGAGGGAAGCAGGGCGTGCATACACTGTCATGAAGGGATGGAGGACAAGCAAACAGAATCGCTACCTAAGCCTAAGAGAGACAGGGCACTGAGCTGGGTTAAGAGAGCAAGCCTTTGTTCTTGGAAAGCTTTTTGAAAGCCCTGTCCAGATGTCCAGACTGGCCCAGGCCTGGCAGGACACAGAGAGGACCTCTAGGCCCCAGTGACAGCTGGGGAAGGTACAAAAGTCAGCTGGGGCCTCGGCCAGTCCACTGTGGTAAAGACATCTCAACAAACGTCTCCTCCCAGATAGGGGAGGCATGCAAACCATGCCCGCTTCTTCCACCACCTCCGTTCCTAGTCTCAACAGGGCTAATAGCATGCCGTCACCACTGCCTCAGCTCCTCTCAGACGGCTGGAAATAGCTGCTTCACACGTCGAATGGCAGGCACTTTGCAATAGATTCAGAGAGACCCCTGTAGATCCAACTGCTGGTCCATCCACCCCACACTCGGGCTTTCTCAGTGGATCCCTGGCCCAGGACTCTGGCCTTCCCCAGTTAGGAGCAGGCTCTCGGCGATGGTAGACTTCCCCAGTCACTAGGGAGCATGTGTCAAGGTCTGGTGTCTTCTAGGCTAAGGTTGGTCAGTGGGGAAGGCGGGGAGGGGCAGAGAAAGATCCTGCGTCCCTGAGTCTTACTGATTTACAGGGTAATCTCCTTGGGGGCAGAGAGCATTGAGGTCTAATCTATTTTGTCCTATCTTTAATCTAGCGATTATTTCAACTCAGGTTTTTCCTCTGCCTTCCAGGATTCTAAACCTTCTGGAAAACCAAACAACAAGGCAAGGGCTAAAAGTCGGAGTTGATGAGTTCCAGGAGTTAGCTGATGGAAAACATTCTCAGGGAATTGAGAAACAGTGGAGAGAGAGGTGGGGCTGGGCCTGTCCTTTGGGGCCAGAAGCTTGGCTCAGAATGAGCCAAGAGCAGAAAAATCTTTCAGGTGGTGGGTAGAAGATTGGGACCCTAACCCTGGCCATCGCTCCTCCTCGGATGCTCTACCACGACCTGGTGGTAGACCAGATGTCACTGGGCCCTGGGGAAGGATTGCATTGCTCCTAAAGGAACTGGGAAGGAGGGAACTCCACACCACGGCCAGGTGAGGCTGCCGCTGCCGGGCTGGAAGGCAGGGCAGGGACAGGAGTGCAGAGTTCCCCGGGGCCAGTCTCCACTGCTGGACAAAGAGCTCAAGGTTCGGGTGAGGGGCGCAGGGGACAGAGGACAGGGGTTGTCAGTGTTCCAGTCACCAGCCAACTGCTGCCTCACACTGTTCTCCTGCTGCAAACAGAAGCAGTGCCATGAGACGAACAGTCGTGCAAATCCATTCAGTCCTTTTTAAAAGA